ATGTATCAATGTGCTAGGGAAGAAATATACAATACTGTTTTCTATTTACTTGTATTATTGCGTTGTTCACAGAATGATACTTACGTGACGTAATCTGAGTCATGATTGACAGTCGTCTGTCATTCAATAATTCACACTTCGCCAGCAAAACAAAACACCTTCATATGGGCCCTTTATTTTGAAATAAACATTGATAAGAAGGGACGGGAAGTCAACAGGATGTTCAACTTCAGGAAGTTCCCTAGTTGATCCGCCGGCGCCTAATTCTCACGATCATGATCATTGCGTGCCAAAATTTCAATTCTGTCTGGCGCCTAATTGGGGTGTAAATTGAAGGTGGCGCTTAACTGAAGACAAATACGGTACATATATGTACCATATGAATTTATGGTGTAAAAACGATTAGGGTCTGTGTGAAAACAGTTTAACGCAAGATCTTTAGCATTATCTTTATTGTGGGATGATTTTGATTGTACGCAAACTTTCGATGCAAAGCCATTTCCACCATTGTTTTTCAGTACAATTTGACCTGAAACAATGCCCTCTGACCAAACTGGTCATGTCCTCATACCAACAGAATTTTCCGTTTGACAATGTAAATTTTTGACAGCAATGCAGAAGTGAATTACTGCTATATGAATACGATGTGTAATCACCAATTTTGACGAAAAAAAACATTTGCATTTGCAAACAAGCATTTTCGAAAAGGGGAACTGAAATTGTTGAAACTGAAAAATGTTTGTGACGATTACAAACCCTAACCGAAAAAAGGCCATTCAGCTTGTCAAGCAAATCCAATGTTGACAACGTGCACGATGTCAATTTCAACGTTAAGCATGTTGCTTTGCCGTGGCTTTACCATGATTTTACCATGATTTTTTGCAAAATGAAGGTTTTGAGTGGAAAAAAAAAAACATAGGGAAATTATTTTAATACTACAACTGTTGTAAATATGCATTGCTAACAGCAGAGCTATCTCAGCTGACAGGCTGTTTGTTGTTTACTCATTTGAATATTTAATCATCTTACATAATGAGTGTTTGTAACAAATAATTTTCACGCAGGTCTCCTCTCTTCTTCCCAGTGCAATCTTTACTGCTACTAAATTTCAAGAATTTTTCAGCTTCTGATATTCATGTATATTATGTACATTTCTTGATTGTTTTTCTTGTTTTTTTCTGCAGACCACTGGTTGTCATAAACCAAGTCGTTTGAAAGAATCTGAACATCTTTAGTTTAGGCTGCAGCCATCTCATCTAATCCCTTCATCATCAATTCTAATAGGACTGCTGGATTCCATTGAACTGGCTGATGACCTATCTATGACCCTTAAACTGGCTATTGAACTATGTCTGCATAGACACTGGACTGCTGTAAAACTGGCTATCTGGACAACGTAAAGCAAAGACTCTGGATACTCTGCAAGTTTAAATCCCGGACCTGTCGTTACAGTATTGTGTGCCCGCTATACATTGGTTGATTTATTCTTGGTAAGACTTTTAGTGTTATTTGTGTGCATACTTTATAAGCATGTTTTACTTGTTTCTAGTCTGCTTGTTTGATTTTGCTGAATCAGGATAGATCATATTGACATTCCTGTTAAATGTAAAGTTGTGTGATCAAAGCAAAGATTACTTTAAGTTCCAGACATGTAAATGACAGATTTGATTGAAACCGTACAAATGAAGCTATTCAAATATAACTGGGTGGGTGGGGATGGGGGGGGGGGTGTGTGTGTGTGTGTGTGCGTGCGTGCATGTTCCACTGATATCTCAAGAACCGAATGTTGGTTTTTAATGAAACTTGGTGTATAGATGCTCTGGACTAATGTACAGATGTGCTTAGTTTTGGATAAAAATTCATGCATATACTGTAATTAACCTAATTTGCATAATGATTAATCAATTTTCGGCTTTTCCACCGATATCTTAGGTACTAATCATCACATTTCAATGAAAGTTACATAGATACATAGGACGATGCACAGAGATATGTGAAATATTAATTACCCAATTTGCATAAGTAATACATTTTCAGCTTTTGATATTTGAAGTACTATTACTTCATTACTTTTCTATGAAACTTAGTACATAGATGCTCTAGAACAATCCAAAGACCTGATTAATTTTAAGTAAAAATCAGTGCATATTAATCAACAATTGCAACACTTGGAAAATAAGTTGGTTAATCACTTGTGGAATGCAGCGCTACCGTACTGTGATCATTTGCTAATAAGCAATGTGTTTGTTTTTATTTTAAACTTATTTTAGAATATACTTTTCGTTACCAACAAAATTAAAAAAAATAATGCATATTAAATATAGTATTTTTGTTGTCATGTGAACAGTTTTTGACTCCCATGTGCGAAGCACAAAATGGGAGTCTTTGCAGTTAGTGTGTCTGTATGTATGTGTGTATGTGTGTGTGTATGTGTGTATGTGTGTGTATGTGTGTCCGACTGTTCCACTGCTATCTCAAGAACCATACATCGGTTTTTGATGAAACTTGGTGCATAGATGCTCTGGGCCAATGCGCAGATTTGATTAGGTTTTGGTAAAAATCCATGCTCGTTAATTACCTAATTTGCATGATAATTAGCTAATTTTTAGCTGTTCTATGACTGTTCCACTGATATCTAAAGAACCACTCATTGGATTTTGATGAAACTTGGTACATAGATGCTCTGAACATATGCGCAGATTTGATTAATTTTTGGTAAAAATCCGTGCATATTAATTACCTAATTTGCATGATAATTAGCTATTTTTTTAGTGGTTCCATGACTGTTCCACTGATATCTAAACAACCACTCATTGGATTTTGATTAAACTTGGTACATAGATGCTCTGAACTAATGCTAGGTTTTGATTAGTTTTTGGTAATAATCCGTGGATACTAATTACCTAATTTGCATAATGATTAGTCAATTTTCGGTTTT